TATATATATATATAAACACTTTCTGGGCCTAAATTGTTGCTTCAGCTGCTCTCGTCTGCCACATAATCCAAGTAGAATTACTTTGTAATCAGTCATCATTGTGTTATGTGACACTGCTGTGTTGCTGATGAATGATACACTCTATGCTTTTTGATTGTTGAGGACTCTTACTGAGGGCTTTTCTTTTGTATGTATTCATATTTGAATCCAACTGTTTTTCCACTGGGACTGCGATGGGCTTTTTGAGGAGGGACCGGTATCTGCTGCCTTTCTGTTCCTGAGTGAAGGTGGCGAGGAGGAGGAGGAGGAGTATGGGGTGTGTAGGGGGGTGTAGAGCTAGAGATTTATGGCCTAAAGGGAGATTGATTAGTGCCGTCACTAGCCCTGATGTACGGTTGGCAGTCTCCCCCTCCCAGCCCATCACATTTGCTCACACACACACACACACACACGCGCACACAAACATCAACTTGCAACTATACAGTTCAGCTACACATACATCCAGACACCGCTCAAGGCCCCCGGGCCTTTCCTGACAGTCCCCCAGAGCTGTTGCATGTTAAGTTGTAGCAGACAGACTGCTGTTTTCTCAGTGCTACTTTTTCCTTTCTGTCCATAGATAACGCCATCAATCACCACATACACACTGCCCTGGAAAGAATGCGCCTCGGTGTGCCCGAGTGTTGCTATTTTCTGTGTGATTCTGYGGGTTTGTTTTGAGGACGGCTTCACAGACAGGAGATGCGGTTGAATGGCTGTGTGCATGTGCTGTTTGAAGCTGCAGAGTGACTGATCTGGACTGTGCTCTGCACCCGTGTCAACAGAGCTGCYCCGGTGCAGGTGTGTGTTTATCATTCAGCACACAGAGCTGAGAGGCAGGCAGCTGTATGCGAGCGTTCCCAATTAAATCCCTGGCTGTAGCCCACAGCCAGCCCCTGACAACCCTCCGGACACAATCCTGGAGCTTTGACCTCGTATCTGCCAGCATAACTCACTTTAATTTTCCTTCTTTTTTTTTTCTATTTTGCTCTTTTTTCTGACACAGGTTGGCCGCAGAACTCCCCCGGCTGTAGTACTGTGCCCACCTCGCCATGCTGGCCTGTCTGCAGAGGAGGCAGAACCCTCCACCCCAGCACCCCATGTGTGCCAGCAAGACCCTGGAGCCTCCGCAAATCCTTGGGCGGAAATGTAAGTTACAAACACAATGGAGGGATGGGGGGTCGGCATTTCAGCTTGCCTAAAGCTAAGCTATGAGAGGGGCCTGTTTGTCATTTGTGTTTAATCTTTTGCTCGTGGTGAATGATAGAAATGTGTGGTTAACCCTTAATGTGAAGTTTAAAAAAAAGTAGTTTCCAGCTTCTATTGTTGCCACATGTTCCCTCACCGCTCTGTGGAATTCTAAACAGTTTTATCCGCGCTGCACTTAGACCTTGGATTGCCGTGTTGTTTGGCTACTCATTGTGCGGGAGGCTGTTTAACTGTGCTGATTGTGCAGTCGTGACAGCAAAGCTGAACAGACACTGTTTAACGTGCCTCGCTGGCCCCGGTGACCCTGAAGGTCTGTAAACATTTACAGTGTCTGGCCCTGGCCGTGCCGGCCCGCATGTAAAGTGTGGCAGCTGCTGTATTTGTTCCCCGAGCACCATCCTCTGTCCGCTCACAAAACTGTGTAAAGGGGGCTGTAAACCGTCACAGACCTCGCAGAACTAGCTCTAACCAGTTTGGGATTAAAGAGAGCTGCAACCACTGGGAAGGTGAATTTCTCCCTAACTTTGTTAGAGCTTTGAATAAGTACCTTTTTGACTAGAAGAAAAGAGATTATTGTTCTGTTTTTTTAAACTCAGGTGTATAAGGGCTTTTGTTTACATGGCAGGCTCCTGCAAGCTGATTGAAAAGCTGATGTAGAAGGAGGCTTGAGCCAAGCAGTTCTAACCTAAGCTTACAGAGGCTTAGTGGGGAAAAACAGGGTCTCTGCTTCCCCATCCATCAGAGGAACATTGTATCAGGTCTGTAAACAGCCAGGTGAAAGCCCAGGAAGAGTGGCCCTTAAAGTTAAAGAAATGAAGCATTCATTCTCAGCTTCCCACTGGCCAATTAACTACTTCCCAACATAAAATCACACCCCGATCGCTTCTTACGGAGGCCAAYAACAACAAGGTGACTTGTGATCGTCCTCTGGACTTGTTGTTCCTGCTCCGTGTGAATCCTCCATATGGGGCTGTGCGTGAAAAAAARAGAGAGAGGAAACGCAAGAGATAAACAGAGCTCTGTGTGCGTTTTCACGGCGCAGCTCTTCATCTGAGCAGGGTTCAACAATATTTGCTAATGAGGTTTYGGAGAAAGGTGAAGTGAAAAGGAGGGGGGTATTCAAAATAAAATTAGCAAAGGCAAAGATGGAGGGGAAAGAGAGAGAAACRGAGGAAATCCTCAGTAGTCCTCTTAATCGATTCCGCACTTCCAATTTCACAGGATTAGCCCACTTCCTCTCAAGGTCCTTTATTGAGGAGCAGCCAGTGGGAGTTAGGACTCAAATCAATAGAGAAAAAGAACAATCTCCAGTCTTGCCTTTGCCCTCCTTCTTACTGACCCTCTCTACTCCACTACCGCTCCACTCCTCCACCTGTTAAACCCTTTGATTGAAGTACTACCACAGCGACTGAGTTAAGGTTCATAATGAGGATGTTTGGACATAATAGCCTCCCTTTTCTGTCCTTGGATGTGGAGGGAGGGGGTCCGGTGTTGGATTTCCACCACTGTGCAGCACTTGGCCTCAATAAGGTGATTGTTCGTCCAGGCCCAGAAGGGGTGCGGAGAAACAGACAGTGGGTTTGGCTACAAACTCAGGTCACCATGCTGAGTGGGTCCTCATGACTGATTGGTCGTGGCCCAGTTTTTTGCCAAACTGGAAGGCGGTTGCGGGTAAGGTGACCTGGCCACTCAACAGGAGGCCAAAGAGAGGAGTACAACCTTTGAAAAGACAGTCTGCAAATGTTTTAGATGTGTGTGTTTTAGACTCAGGTGGTGGAACAATTGGATATGAGAGGGTGAGAAGGATTTAAAATATATATATATAAAAAGAGTCAAATAAATAAAATCCGGCATGCAGATGCTGAGTGGCTGCATAGTTCATTGATGCGACTCGCATTAAAAATCCCTCATACCCTCAATAAAAAAGGACTTAACTGGCTCTGCCATCAGCTGGAAGCGCTCAGATCGGCTAGCTAGACAATCAATTTCCCCCGAGCGCGCAGAGCTTAGCAGGAGAAACAGGAGGCGGAGAGTGGGATGTTTCCATTATCACAGCCCGCTCTGTGTCTGGGTTTGGAAGGGCGGGGTGATGTACTGAGG